GCCACAAAAGACTGCCGGTAATCGCAGGGACGGCCACGGAGAAACGACTCCGTGCGCAACGGCGACACAGCAATTTTGTACACCACACCTTTCTTGTTTGCAGGATCATGCTCAACCCGTGTCTTACCCAGCGGCTCCACGCAAGTCTTGTCGGCGAACGTCACCTCGACCTCCATCACGTAGTCCTTGGTGTCATTGTAGTAGCTCCATGTACACTCCTCACTCAAGCTGTCCCTCAACACGAGACGAAACAAAAGCCCATTGCCGTGGCCCTTTAGGCACTTGTAAACACTGTCATACTTTACCGTCGGGAGGCCATTCTCAAACTCGACGTCGTCCTCCGACACAACCTCGCTTTGAAAGTCGATCTGAAACCCCTCCACGCTGCCCTCCAAAAAGCGCTCAGTGCGACCAGGCCCCACCACCACAGTCACCTCCCAGCCCCATTGTTCCTTCACCCCCCAATCCATCTTTGTTAGCTTCGCCCGGCCAAGAGGCTTGACTTGAGAGCCTTTGCCAATCTTCGCGTTGACGCGGAACACCATCTTCTCTGTGTCATTGTAAAAGGCCCACTGTCTCTTGTCATTCACAAGACGAAACAAAAGGCCATTGTCATTATTCGGAAAGCAACGATATACATTGTTGTACGCAAACCCGGGTACCCCGTGTTTAAAGAGGCCCTTGGTGTCAGTCACGAGATTTGTCATTCCACTAGTCGCTATTGGGCTCAAAACACCACTTTCCCCCGTTTTTTTTTCCCCTTCTCTTAGTTGAACCGCGCTTTGTGTATGCTTTTCTGGCTGTGCTGCTCTTTAAAAGAAAAGCTTTTTTTTTTTTTGAGTCGCAGCTGCTTCCTTCCTCGTTTGAGTGGATGCACGCAACGCATCAAAAAAAAAAAAAAAAGGAAACGACACGCAGCGGGGGTGATTGCAGCGACGACGGGGAGCAGGAAGAAGTCACCGGCCAACGTTGAGGGGAACGCCGTGGCAACAGACGCATTCCGCGGTGCGCAGCGGCAAAACAAAACCAACCCCCCCACCC